TTCGAAGTTTATGCTATAAATGATGTTCATTTTAAGAGTTATATTTCTGCATTAGAGATGAACATGAGACGTTATTTGCGACTCTGAGTATGTGGAAATTTAGGGTCGTTACACTCGTTTTTTATGATTTAGCTTTAATAATAATGATTATTTTAGTTTCAATTTAACATTGTACATGTATGAAAAATTATAGAATCTTAGTATAATCTTGAACCATATGTGATTTGAACACTGTGATTAGTATATAAGAGCATCATGTTTAAGAAATAATCTATATGAATAAAGTTGAGAATCTTATTCTCACAATATCATTGCTACGATCCACTTTATCATTGCAACAAATGATTGGATCCAAGTTGTAAGTATGAATTCATAAGAATGAGAGCATACTACACAATAGTTTGTATAAGATTAGATCAGATCAGGTAAGATTTAATTTCTGTTTATAAATCAGTTCATTTAGAAAATTATTATTTTACAGAGTAATCATATGCGGTTTGATCTTCATTCTAAATGAATTATGAACTGTTATCTGTAAAAGCTTATCCTTTGATATATATGGGTGAGAATAAACTTCTGCATCATTTCATATCTTCTAGTGATAACGGCAGCGACAAGAAACCCACTTTTGCAAGCTCAAATCCTATGCACCTTTTAATGAGTAGAAGGTGACGGTCATTAACTAATTGAGTCGAGGTCAGACTTTATTCCTTCACTGCAAATCAAAAAATGATGACTTACTTGGGAATTCAAAGTGAATTTTTTTTCGCAACCACCCTTCTTTGGTGTAATATACAAACGCCATCAAATAAACATGTGGCAATGGAATTATTTTGGCCCGAGAGTCAAGATTGGCTTAGTTATAGATGCAACTACCGGTTGTGCCATTACAATGCTAAAGATAATTGCATTTATTTGTTGAATATTCCTAAAAAATCAATGGAATTTGTGCATAAGTGGGAAAACTAGGATGAGGTATTGCAAACTCCAAACAATAGAGTTTCTGTTTTTAAATAAATTTGGATGTTTTATTCTTCTCAGATGCATTTAAATGTGTACTAAGTTTAATTTTTCTTTTAAATGTATGAGTTCACCACTAGTATGTTTTTATCTTTCTACTTCAAAATGACGTTAGCATATATTTAGTAACGAACCTGAATCAATTTAGAGTTTTAGAAACTCGAGCCGTTATAATTATTGAAATTTATGACCTAAAGTCTCGTTTGTTATGATTTAGTTTTAATAATAATTTTGATTATCTTAGTTTCAATTTAACCTATGAAAAGTTATAGATTTTTAGTATAATCCTGAATAATATGTGGTTGACTTATGAGAGCATCACGTTCAAGAAATAACTTAAAGAGTATGGTATATGAATAAACTTGAGTAAAACAGTCTCATAGTACTATTGATACGATACATTTTATAATTAGTACAAATGATTGGATCCAAATTGTACAAAGACATGAAAGTAAGACTATTATACGCCATGAGTTTTACGCAATAAGTTTATATAAAATTATATCACGTAATATTTAATCTCTCTTTATAAATAAATTATTTTATAAGATTAATATTTTACAAGTTAATAATGTATTTTAATTTTAATTCTAAGCCAGGGATGAACTCCTATTTGTAAGAGAGATATGGGTGAGAGTGAAAGACCGTAGATTTAATAAACCTACTCTTTTGAGAAGTTACAATAATGAGATGAAACAAATTAAATTAACTAATTAACTCATTCTCATGATCTAATAAATTAATTTTGTCCAAATTTCCCTTGCTATCTCATAATATTTAAAAAACTAATTTAGTTCAAACAAAAATTTGAAGGTACAAATTAGATGGTGATATTTCAAATTGTATTATGAAATATTCCATATCATTAATTTTTTTTTTTTTTTTTTTTTTTTTTTTTTT